AAAAATAGCCGGGTGTGTGGCAGGTGCCTGTGGTCCCAGCTACTTGAGAGGCTGAGGCAGGAGGCTTGCTTGAGCCCAGGAGTTGGAGGTTGCTGTGAGCTGTGATGCCACAGCACTCTACCCTGGGGGACAGCTTGAGGCTCTGTCTCAAAAAAATAAATAAATAAATAAAATTCTATTATTTCCAAAGTCCCATTGAAATTACAATAACATGTTTTTAAAGGAACACCGTTCTAAGGGATAGAAACTGATTCATTTTATGTCAGCCTGTACCTGGCTCTGTAGTGACCACCAAAGGTATAAGTTTGCTAGGAAAGATAAATTGTAAGAGAGCATCATATCTCTGGAGAGTTGACCATTTTGAGCTTGACGTCATATGTGGGAAACATTACCCAGTTATGATTTATCTGAAAACGTTAGTCATCGTGTATATATCAAAATAGATACATAGATAACTGTGTTCACCTGCTCTGTTAGGACTCGGGTAGATTGAGAGAGAAGATAAAAGAAGGGAATACATAAAATGATATTTGTCACAAAGAGAATAGAGCAATGTTTTGTGAAAGTAATGTGCAAGAATATTGTTTTCGATTTCACATTCTACTATAACTACTTATTTTTGTAGATATTGCCAGTTTATGTCCTCATGTATGTTTTTATAGTTGACATTGTACAAAATATGACTGATAGGGGACTCGTATTTTAAAGTGCTAGGAAAATTGCTATTTGGAGCTCTAAGAAAACAAGAGATTAAAAACAAGTACCTCAACCCTACCATCTGTTTCTTATCCCCCCTGAAATGTTTTTCTTCTTGTCCCCAAAGAAGCACAGAAAGCAAGTAGAACTTGCGGCATTATGGGGTGAAGTAAGTTAAATTTGTCGGACTGATCTCGAGAGGGCATTCATGGTGCTGCACCTCCCCTTTACGGAGTCATGCTCAGCAGCTACTACATTTCGTTTTGCATTGTAAGGAATTTTGCAAATGGAAGGATCTTGCGAGATAAATTTATCCAATTTCTTAGTTTTATAGATTAGAAACCTCAAACCCCTATCTCCTGATTCCAGTCCAGTGATCTTTTCACCACCCTTTGCGGTTGCTACAGCTCTAAGGCACAGATGGATTTCTAAGCCAACAGCCCTTCTAGCATTGATGAAGATTTGCAAGTGCTTGTCACCTTTACTTTGGCTTTCTGTGCCTATGACTTTAGTTGACTTACTAACATTTGATGGGGGAGATTCACCCATATAACCTTCTAGATAAAATTTTCTTTATCAAACTCTTACAGCCTGAATTCCACACTCATCATTGGTTATTAATTCTGTAGCTGATGTCTTTATAGCAGTAATTTTATGATTTTTCTAGGCACCAAAGATCTGTGTTTTATAAAGCACCAACTTGATACTGTTTTCTCCCATTCTCTCTCTTTTTGCCGTCTCCTTTTATTATTATTTTATTTTGGATTAACCCACAATAGCACACAATTAGGTTATGCTGTTTTGCATTTGTAAGGTAAAGTCCAGGTTATACTTGAGTCCTTCACTACCCCTACATTGTACATACTAGGTGGGAGCTTATTGAACTCCCTCCCCTGTTCCTCCTTCTCAAATTTAATTGTGTTAGTTTTTTTTTCTTTTCTTCTTTTTCTGAGACAGTCTCACTGTGTTGCCTTTGGTAGAATGCCAAGGTGTCATAGCTCATAGCAACCTCAAACTCTTGGGCTGAAGCGATTTTCTAGCCTCAACGCCTGGCTATTTTTTGTTGCAGTGGTCATTGTTTAGCTGGCCTGGGCTGGGTTCAAACCCACCAGCCTCGGTGTATGTGGCCGGCACCGTAACCACTGTGCTTTGGGTGCCAAGCCATTTGTGTTAGTTTTTCTCATGTGGGCCTGTGGTTGTTCATCTACTAGTATCGAATTAGTGTTGAGTACATGAGATACATGGGATGCTTGCTTATCCATTCATTCTTTTGTTCTTCTCTTTCTTTCTTTCTTTTTTTTTTTAATAGAGTGCCATGCGTCTTTATAGCTAACAGCAACTTCAAACTCTTGGGCTGAAGGAATCCTCTTGCCTCAGCCTCCCGAGTAGCTGGGACTATAAGCACCTGCCAAAGCATCCTGCTAATTTTTCTATTTTTA